CCTCTCCCCCAATCAGCGTTTCTGGGGAACACCCGAAACTGTCACGGATTGGCTGGGAGGTGTTGCATGTGAGTACCTCAAGCATCCTTTTGCGTGCAGAAAAGCGAGGCAGCCAGGTCGATTGGAATCGGAGGTACCTGTGAACCTGAACCGCTGAACTCTGAATCCGCTTCGAGCAATGTGACTGATGTTTGCGGAGGTGGAGGCTATGAAGTGATCAGCTTCCAGGAGTGCCAAGATTAAGAGCACGCAGGCTTCGTGGCCCCGCAGCTTTTTTGCAACTTGTCAGTCGCCTGGCACCCCGGCCGACCCGGCCGACCTTTCAAGGAGGTCTTAGCTGGGACGAAAAGTGTCGGTCCAGCGCTTGCTTACTGATTCTGTCTGTGACAGGACATGTGGTCCCCAAAGACTGTAAGAATTGAGCTCAATTCGCAAAGTTGCAGGACACCTGTGAACTAGTCGCCATGCATCATCCTCAGCCATTTCGGGGCACATACCGACATCCCTCAGACCCGCCACCGGTGTAGAAATGGCTCGGACCCGCCAGTGCCTGAGAGTCTGAGAGCTTGAGGGTTGCCAACAAGAAGAGTCGCTGCTCTTGAGGTGGAAGCCTCCTTGTGGCGGTGGCCGTGGGCTGCGCCCTTCTGGTGCCTTCCCTATGCAGCGTCAGTGTCTTTTCATTCAAGGAGCTTTCAAAGGTTCTGCGCCCTCTTAGAGTTGAAATCCAATATCACTACTTTACGCCTCTGGCGTGGTCTTTTCATGTCTTTTCTGGGCATGTGCGATGAAGGGCTGCAGGATCCCGCAAGCCATAAAGACTGGCGGGTTCGACTCTTTTCGAGAAGTGGTGACTCTTATTCGTTGCTAAGGTCTCGCAAGCCTTCGTCTGCGGGCCTTCTGCAAGACAGACCAGGGAGGGTGTTTCAGCAGAAAAGGTCATCACGCTTCGAGACTCTTCACTTTCTGGAGCAGAGTGGTCGACTTCATGAGACGTCAGAGGGGAACCCAAATGCTTCGCATCAGAGGGCCAACTAAGTGAGGAGAAGAGTTTCTGTGGCCCATCACAAGCAGCGAAATGTTCCTATCCACGTTCAAGCGCTTCTTGCCTTTCGCTTTCAGAACCTCGGCCTGGTGCTGCTTAAGCCTGGCAGGAGCTGCACCTGAGGTGGATGCAGGGGCCTCGACACGGATCTCCCTCCTGTATCTTGCATCGTGGCGCAGCTGAGGCGCGCGTCTTGGGTGCCACCTTCGCTGGGCTGTCTCCCCTAGCAGTTCCGGGCCTTGGAGCAGCTGAGAGACGGGGATTTCCGCGAGTTTCTGCATTCGGAGGTCGAACAGCCTGCCAGCGCCTACGACAGCGTGGTCGCGATGCTCCAGAGCTGGCTGGTAGGCAACCGCGCTTCTGATGCCTGCGCAACAGCATGCAACGATGCTCTCTCTGCGCAGGCGGCATTGCCCTTGTCCTTATCTACGGGGCCGCCTTGGTGGCGGCTGTGGCGAACCCGCTGACGAAGAGGCGAGCGACTTCGGAGTCTTGAGGAAGGGTGCCTTTTGGGCGCCTCGGTGTTTCTTTGCGCAGGCGCCTGGAGGTCAGGGATCAGGCCGGGAAGCAGGACAGAGAACATGCCTTTCTTCGTTGCAGTCCGTGTCGCTGAGCCGTTGCAGGTGGAGCGCAAGTGAACAGTGGAAGCAGGAAGCTCAGGAGTTTTGGTTCAGCCGATGCCTTTTGACTTGATGTCACCTCTTTTCCCAGGCTGAAGGCACCACTGCACACGGCGCTTTTTAGCAGCTGGCCTGAGAGAGCCTGGTTTCGCCTACTTGCACCATCAGCTGATTAGCTATCCAGCCTCGCATGCCGCCGAGGATAAGCCTCCATACGTCGGCACTTGGAGAAAGAGCGGAGGAAAATCAGAGCCCTCTCGATGCTTCGTACAGCCCCGGCACGGACTGCAGATTCGCATGCAGCGGGTATTTGCAGGAATGCAGTCCTGTCATCGTTGCCGAGGTATTGCATGCCGCTTCAACTGCCTGTGTCAAAGCGGTGGACGAACATTGGGCCAAAGCTGGTGCTAGAGCACACTTCTCAAAGGTAGCTAAGTCTTAGCTAAGCCCTACTGGCGCTGTTAACGAGGTGCAGTCGTGGTTGAAGCTGCAAAAATTGCAAATGGCGCTCTACAGCTCATCCAGTAGCAAAGTGTGCGCTACCCTTGCCAGATTGCAAAGACCTCGCGTGAAACCCCGCAGAGCCTCCCAGTCGAGTCAGCTCGTGACTCCAGTTGCGCATGCAGCGTTGAAAAGGGGTTATCTTCGCCTGGGCGAAGCGCCATGAACTTCCCTGTGCCTTGGAGGGCCTTGTTGCCGGCTTGGGCCTCTGGGGTGGACCTGGGTTCTGCATCGGATGTGCTTGGGGCTCTGACAGACTTCAGAGCTCTGCGCCTGTGGGTCGCGAGGGAAGGGGCATTCACTTGTGTCTTGTATTTTGTGGTGTCACTCGTGTCTTTTCCAGCGCAAAGCAATTAGTTGACGGGGCACGAGCCCAGGTCTTGATCGAAATCCGCATTAAGCTATGGGCACCAACCCAAGACCTTTGTTCGACGGAACATCTAATGGGGTCCCTCCAGCCCAACACCTGAAAGAGTCACCCGCCAAACCTCGAAACTCCACAATTCTCCTAAGCCGGGAGGCCAAGAACCCCAAACCAAAGAACCCCAAAGCGGCAAGATTGGAAGAAAAGGGCTTTCGTTCCAGACCATGACATCGAAACAAGCAAAAAGCCACAAGCGGCACCAGAACAAAAGACACAAGTAACACCAGAATGAAAGACGTAAGTGCTCCAGGATCTGTGCGTGAGGGTTTTCGACGCACTGCATGAACCGGACTTGCTCAGTGCCGAGGCTGATGCGGTGCCCACTTTCTCCGGCCAAGATGGGCTTCGGGAGATCTGTGATGCCACGGGTGCAGGCACACTTGGAGTAGGGAGAGGGCTCAGGGCTTCGACTCGCCGGTTCGCCGTCGTGCAGGCTGTGAGCTCTCTGGCGAAGGAGACACGCCCTCTTCGCAGCTCTGCCGCGGATAGTGCCATGGAGCAGATGGCTCACGCAGGCCGCACCCTGGGCCCTGGACTTAGGCTGTCAGACAAGATCCTCACCATTAGCGGGAATGTGGAGCAGAAGGAGGCATAACACTTTCCTGCCGAGGGGTCGAATCGGTGTTTCCGTGTTGATGCAGAACACAGGCCGCTTGCCGGCGAATTGTCGACAAGCTCCGAGTTCTGCAGGAGGTGATTGACCAGGAGACTCGGAAAATGATTTAGTGACACGTCCTCCGTGGCGCATGTATAGCGCATCGCAGGAGCCTGGAGTTTTCGTCATCATAGTCTCTGCCTCAGCAAATCAGGCCTATTGTGGCCTGCTGCTGTGTTTCGTCTCGTCCTAAGCAGCCTTTCACACGTGCCGAAATCTGAGGTCCCCTCCGCTGCCGCCCCTGCCGTGATTGGGAGCAAAGGCGCCCAAATCAAGGAGGCACAGCGCTTGAGTGCCCTGAGTCGCCGTTAGCTCCACGGCCATGTGAGGTCATCGAGCTCAGCGGTGCAGAGGTGAGTGTTGCGAAGGAGAGCATCATCGGTGCTCCGGCAGTATACGACACAGGACGAGTGCGGTCCACGCTGCAAGGCCCACGTTCTCGCTGAGGCATGAATGACCAACCCATTGGCGTCACCGGCACAGGTGGTCGGGTGGCCCAAGAGCCGGTCGTCGATGCAGAGGGGAACCTGTCAACTTACTGACTTGGAAGGTCAAGTGGTCTCTGCTGTTAGCAAAATCAACGCCATCCTTCAAGACTTGGCGCAGCCCCTAGCTGCGCAAAAGCATGGACCAGCATGCCGACCACGATTGGTGGAATGCGGCGTGTGATTGAGAATATTGAGAGCAAACACCGCTTCCAGGCGGATCGGGGTCGTCTGCAGCCGACAGACTTCCGATACCGACCCGGAGCGCAGAGACCAGAGGACCGGCACACGGGCACACAGCAGGCGAAGGAGGAAAGACATGGAGCCCACCGAGATGCAGGGCTGATATCTGCACAGTCTGCGCATGCCTGCAGACCGCAGGACTCAGGCGGCTCCTCGTTTGGAGCTCCGGGGCGTGCTGCGCAGCCTACAGGAGGCTAGGTAGGGTATGGAAAGACAAGGTTGGCCACATCTGGCTTCAAAGTCTCAGGCAATCCCCGGACCAATGCCAAGTTCGTGGTGGCAACACAGGCTGCGCCTGGTTACTTTCAGAGTCTTTCAGGGCTTCAGACAGTCCGTGCCGAAGATGTTGGTGCAGCCTCCATGTGCTGTCAGCAGCAAACAAAAAGCCTTTTGTTCGGTTCTTGTGCGAGGTAAGTGCCGAAGTTTGTGCATGACTTTTCTGGCGACATCGGATCTCATTGCTGCTTGCCCTCGCTTGGACAGGTAGCAGGCTGGATCATCGGAAAACAGGGGCGGCACATCCGGGAGCTGCAGGAGCGTCAGCGGCAGTAAGATGGCAGCACGTCGGGAATTCGCTAAATCTTCCTTCTTCATTCACCCGCGAAGAGGAGAACAGCGGAGCCCACATCCAAGTGCTCAAGGAGGGCGAGGCAGAAATGATCTGGGAGTTCTGAGTCTTCGATTTGGCTCTAGCTTCTCTTCTCAGCTGTTGCAAGGCAATCCCTCGCATGTATCCCAATCTGTCCCAACGTGTCGGATGCTTGATCAAATGCGGCTGTGTCGGAGGTTCCGCCTGGCGTTCCGGTAACCGACCGCATTGTCGAGATCGGTGGCCGCTTTGAGGCGAAGGCAGAAGGCCAGGTGCTGTGCATCGGTGGGACGTCAGCTGCAGAGCTGGAGAGATCACCGGGACCGGGAACAGCAGGCATCCAAATTATTCTCATAGCCGTTGACAACATGCCAGCGTTGTCGGTCTTCGCCTTGGTGTTGCCTTGTTGCCTTAAGCCGTGCACTGGTGGTGGTCGTGAAACCCGAGGCACCCAGAGAGACGCTAATGCTGATCCCGCGGCAGCTGACAAGCGACTCTGAGATCAAGGACTGGGGCTTTGACCCGTCCCGAATCGAAACTTGGCCTTCAGGGATCAGTAGTCCTGGAGGGTCGATTGCAGGATCGAGTCGTAGTTTGTAACTGACAGCATCTCTCAAGCAGGAGAGTCGCATCCGTCTCTCCATGCAATGCCAGGATGTTCGCCAGATGTCGGGCTGTGAGATCGAGGTTCGCGACCTGCCCTCGCACGATGAGGCGATCTGGAGTAAGCAATCCTTGTTCAGACTGAAAGATGGCATCTTGCAGGGACTCTGCACGTTGCTCGGGAACATCGAGTCGCGTGTGAAGGCCGCTGTGACCCAATTCAGTCCAAAGAGCACAGGACTTTGGCAAGTTGCGTCGCAGGCAGCGCAACAGTTTCTGAAAAGGCTCGAAGAGGCTGGGCCCTTAGGGACACGCCACCGGCATTCCGCACAGTCGATCGACGGATCTTCGGTTGATGGTCTGATGAGCTCTTTTCGTGCCTTGTGACTTGACTTGCATAGGAAGGGCAGAGAGGGAGCAAGACTTCCCAGAAACATCACATCGCGGCCTGACCAAGGTCATGGCCGATGGTAGTGTGTCCCTCCCTGCTCCGTCCTACGGCGCGAGGCATCGTGTTCCTTCGCGGTTCTTTTGTAGAACGCCCCTGAACTTGAGAGGCCGTCTCCTTCGGAGACGTTGCCGGAGGCAGGGCGTTTTCCCGTGGACCCCCTGTCGTGTGCCCGCCCGCACGCCCCGTGCTCCCGATATTTCTCGCGCAGTCCTCGGACGTCTGGGCGAAGCCTGCTCCGAGCGCCAAGGCCGAGCCCCCGATCCAAGCTTCCACTTCTCCGCCCCGCGCTCCGCCGCGCTCCGAGCCTGGCCAGGACGATCCCTGGGCCAGAGAGGATCCCTGGAGCAAAGCCAGGGACGGAGGCAGAGTCGCGCGGACGTTGTGCTGAAACATCTTACGATGCTCGCAGGTGCAGCAAAGGCGGGATCCTGCCCTAGATTGCCGTGCCAAATGAGCCGCAGAGCCAATCGCGAGTGCTTTCCTGCGAGTGACATGACATCTCCTTGCATGCGACAGTGACAGGAACCTTCGAGCACCTTCGCTCCCGCAGACTCCAAGGTTGTGTGGGATCCGGGGAGCATGAGAGTAGATGAGAGTAGAAGAGACTTCCTGCTAAAATGAGCCTTGTGTGGTAAGTTGGGACAATGTCTGCTCTGCCACAGCCAGCATCGCAGTAGCCCATTTTTGCCTTAGCACTTCTAGTTAGCCTCACCACTCCACCATTTCGGCACCGTTTGGCATGAATGAGCATGATCTTAGCATTATTTCGCAGCGATTCGCCCTATCCAGCACTACAGACAACCCAACCTTCCGGGCTGTTCCCGCTGTTCTCTTCAGCTTTAACTCTTTTCGTGGAGGCTTCAGATTCGCGGTCTGTCACTTTCGACAACAACCTCAAGGCACTCGGTTCGCAAGCATGCGGAGTGCATGCAGCACGCCTGACGCCGAGCCGCGCATCTGCTCTGCATGCTTGCATGGACAGTGGCAGGTGACTGACATTCACGCCAGTTATGCCCAGCTCTTGGCTGTTTGTCGTCGAACATCTTTCTTTCAGAAACTCGAGTATT